GAGACTGCTCTTTGCGGCGAGCAGCCGAAAAGGATGCCAAAAGGGTAAAGAGGGCTCAAAAGGCGCATTGTTCCACGACAAAGAAGCGCAAAACTGGGTTGCGCTCTACGGAGGCCAAGGCCACAGCATCTCAGGATTACTGCCCAGGAGGATTCTAAGTGTTTTAGGCATGTTGTGAACTTCCAAACAAGAGTGAACTTTCAAAGTCAGTTTTCTCAACTCTTGATTTTCGCCTATGTGCCTTCGCTAGAACATCAGTCATTTTCTAACAAAGACTGATAGAGTCGTTCCGTTTTTTGCACTAGGCTCAGGAGGCCTTTAGCAGTGCAATAAAGCTTTATCTCTCTTCTTACTCATCATTTAAAATTTTTAGAACACATTTTATAATTACTGCGATGTGTGCGCAAAACAACATCCATGTTTTGGAAATTTTATTTATGGTTACAAGAACTAGAAAAATCAACTAATAGCTTCTTTGCACAAGTTGATGCTTTGGGAACATAATAATATGAAAAAATAATTTCATTTAGCAATAATTATCTCTTTAAGTGTGAAGAGCATTAATTAGTATAATTATGCTTGTAACTCAAAAAGTACAAGAGGTATTGAAAAACGGTTTCATATTTGGAATCCTCACAATCATCCACATACACACACCAAATTTCATCACAAACAGTACATTAATAAAAAAATTAGTTTTACTTGCCACGTCCCCCCTTAAAAAGAAAAAGAATTCCGAACGAAGCATTCCCCAAGAGAATCAGTGTTAGAGCCTAAGAAAAGGGTTGGATAAACTATGAGCTGGTTCACGACTGGGTGAAGTGCGTCTGGCAAAACCGACCGGAAGCGTTGTTGGCCAAACGGTGACTTTTAGTGCTAGACAGCTTCCGCGGTCACCTGACCGATAAGGTGAAGGAGCAGCTGCGCCGTGTCGGCACAGATATGGCCGTGATTCTGGGTCACTTCACTTGAATGCTGCAGCCTTTGGACGTCAGCATTAATCGACCTTTTAAGGTTAAATTCCGAAGGCTCTACACTGAATAGATGACAAGCGGCAGCCATGAGCAGACGCTGACTGCACGGCTAAAGAGGGCACCGCTTGCTACTGTTCTCGGTTGGGTACTGTCGGCGTGGAGCTCGATGTCAATGAACATCGTATCCCGAAGCTTTGAAGTAACCGGCATATCCAACAGCTTGAATGGTGCCTAGGATGACTGTTTGTGGTAGGACGATGCTCTGCAACACGCCATCTCGGACTCCGAGTCCGAGGACTTGTTGAGCGACGACGAAATATGCTGCAATAAACGTTCTTTGTTCGGTAGCTGGTACATTCTCTCTCTTTCTCTTTTTTTTTTTTGCTTAAAAAAAATTGCATGTTGCGAAGTATGAGCCGCACCCTGAAAACTGGTCGTCGTCCTTTCTTGGAAAAAAAAGCACGGCCCTTACACCCGTTCATACAGTATGTCAAAGATGAGACTGCCCTTTGCGCACCACCCCCACCCCCACCTCCCCTTAAGGGGGGACGCGCCCTTTGAAAACCGAAAAATCGCGAAAAAGTCGATTTTTTGAAAACCACATACTCGGGCAGTATGACTCATAAACTGCCTATACTGTAAATATCAATGTCTAACTCATCGCGAAAGTACGTCAAATAAATTTTATAACATGCCACGGCAGCCGGCAAGCGAGCGCCAAAAATACCCCAACTTCGCGCGCTCGCCATTTCCCAACCGCTCGGCCGATCGCCGCCATCTTGATGTTGTTTTGCTCGTGAATTCTTGCGCTTTTTTTTTTTTTCCCCCACCCGCGGCAGTGACGGTGGCGCTCCGAGGCGGGAGTCGCTCACGATTGGGGGGCTCGCGGAAGCTTTCGAATGTCCCGCTGCCTGGATGCGAAGCCGCGATTGGACAAAACGCGCGCCTTTCGAGGGAATGGGGGAACGCGCGGCTCCTATTGGCTGCTGCGCGCGATGACGTAGCTGCTTCTCCGGCATGCGCCGGCTCGTCGTCTGCACCGGCGCTAGCAATGCCGGCGTTCTTTGTGTGCCCCGTTTGCTATCATTCCGATCGGTCGTCACACATGCTCCTCTATCTTTCACCGTCTTCACGAGACGATCTTCTACCGTCTTCACGAGACGATCTTCTACCGTCTTTACGAGACGATCACTACCGTCCTCACGAGACGATCTTCCGCCGTGTTCACGGGACGCGGATTGTTGCGCTGACGGTCACGATGGGCATTTAGAAGTTCAAGACTCGGCACGCGTTCGGTTCAAGAAAGCGTCAGCTGAAGCTCGTACACATGGCGAAGCTCACCTGCACGCCCACGCGCGGCGACAGTTGCACCGATGCTTCCGCTTCATCTTTTCAAGACGATTGCGTCAACGCTTCTAGCGACGAGACTTCTACACCATCGGCACAAGGATCCGTCGTGACGAGTGAGGCTGGTGTTTCGTGCTCAAGTGCGCCTGGTGTGTCGCGCTCGCCAACCGCATTGATTCCGGCCCCGAACAGTGAGACCGCGTCGTCGACTGTGCACATCCAAACACATTTTCGGACTTGCGAGGAGTTGGCGACGGCGGAGAGAGAACGTGCTGCTGTGCAACGAAAGCTTGGCGCTATGCCAGCGACCGAGAGGAAGTTTCAAGCGATGATGCCTGAACCCGAAGCTGCCACCGCTACGACCGAAGGCGAGAGATATTTCCTCGTGCAAGGGGATGCCCTTAGCGACATGCTGTCCAAGACCCCGTGCCCGCGCTGCCTCGCGACCGGGATGAAAGTTCAAGGAGGCACCCAGCTTGGACTTGCCACAAAGCTTGAGCTGGTATGTCCACATTGTGGAATAGTTTCAAGTTCGTGGAGCTCTGCTCGTCAGAACGAGTCAAGGGCCTTCAACGTGAATATAAGAGCCATTACGGCCATGAAACAAATAGAGAAGGGACAGACAGCCCTCAACGACTTTTGGGAACTATGAATGTTTCCCACCGTGGCCTGCACCACAGAACTTTCCAGAGGCACCTGAAGCAATTCAGAGAACCACAGCAACAGAGCCCGAATAAATTCTATGAAGAATCGGCTTCTGCTGTGAAAAAGGTGTACAAGGAGATGGACCCATCTTTCTGCAAGGACATTACAGTGAACTATGATGGCACGTGGCATAAGCGCGGACATACATCTCACATTGGAGTTGGTGCAATCATCGAGTATCACACAGGCCTCATCTTGGATGCTGTAGTTTTATCGAATCAGTGTCTCGGCTGCCAGGTAGGACCGAAGCCTAAAGACGAGGGCTATGCAAGCTGGTTGAAGCACCATGTGTGCCAAAAAAACACTGATGCCAAGTCTGGGAGGATGGAGGTTGAAGCAGCTGTAACTCTGTTCTCACGTTCACTGTCCAAGCATAACCTCCAGTATACAACCATGGTATTTGATGGGGACAGCGCCACATTCTCTGCCCTTCAACAAGACAATGTTTATGGGCTAGTTTCTATTGTGAAAGAAGAATGCTTGAACCATGTCCGGAAGAGGATGGGCACAGCCCTACGTAATCTTGTGCAGAAAAGCGAACAGGCTCTGGGAGGGAAGGGCAGATTGACAAAAGCCCTTATTGATAAACTCACAGACTATTATGGCTGGGCACTGCGGAACAATTCAAACAATGTGGCTGCAATGCAGCGTGCAGTGATGGCGTCATATTATCACGTCACCTCAACTGACGAGGATCCTCACCATGACTTGTGCCCGGAAGGTGCAGACTCGTGGTGCCGTCATAATGCCTGCAAGGGGAATGGCGTGCCACCTCCAAAGCACAAATACAATCTTCCGGGCTACGTTGCAGAAGCGCTGCTGCCAGTCTACCAGCGCCTTTCGCAGGCTTCTCTACTGCAACGCTGCCTGGGAGCAAAGACGCAAAATGCATCGGAGTCATTCCATTCTGTCCTATGGTCCTTGATGCCCAAGGAGCAACATGCATCATTGATTGCTGTCGAGACAGCACTGCATGACGCAGTTTTGCGGTATAATGCCGGCTGCTACAGGGCCACCCAAGAGTTGTCGTCATCAGTGGGACTCACACTTGGCCACCTAATAATTCAACGAGCTGCAGAGAAAGACTCTCTGCGTCTGAGAAAGGCTCAGAAACGGATGAATGAGAAGCAGGAAAAGCGGCAAAGAAAAAGAGAGCCTAAGGACACATCTAGCTACTCTGCAGGGTCATTTTAGACCATAATAAATGTTTGAAACTTTCGAAGTCAATTTTCTCAGAATGACTTTTTTGGCCAGTGAGGCTGCTTAGTCAGGTGATCTCTCTGGAACTGTTGGTCTGATTTCTATCAGGTTTTTTTTATTATGCACCTTAATAAATTGCCCAGGGCAAGACAAGCCCGCTTTTTCAATTTATTGTGTCTGTAATTTGTAATAATAAACTAAAACTTCATTGATGAGAGCCAAATTGTGAACACTAAATTCAGTGCTCTGCTAACATTTTTTGGCAAGGAAATTTAAAAAAAGCGCTCTGTCTTGCCCTAAAGCACCTATCCAGGAATCATCATAGTGAATTTCACAGTGCTAGCACATTTTTCAAATTCTCCAGACCCTGACTAAGGGACCCATGTGGACTACCCTGATAAATGGCTGTAACTTGGGAACCACTGAACATAACTGCATGAAACTTTGTGGTTATTCAAATGGCTTTGCTATTAGTGTACCCTGAAAATTTCATTAAGATATCTCAACAAACAAAAAAGTTGCCCTTCGAAGGTAGCCTCCCCCCTTAACACACACTTCAATCTAAGTACACCGGCCTCAAGCATTTTCCCTTCTACCGAAAATGCGGCCTTGACAGGGATCTGATCCGACGACTTGCAGATTAGCATTCGAGCACCATTGCCTCAAGGCCACCACAGCAGGTACGTGTCAAGCTTGGTGAACCAATGGAAAGTTGGAATTCTCAGGCATTACCTTTCACCATTTTCACACTATATGTAAAAAAATGCTTCCCACCTCTGAGATGCGTTGCATACCATTGTTGTCCTGCAGGACAGGGCCTCTTGTTTGAGAGGGGAGCCGCAACAGCAGCTGCGGTGACAAAGTTTTCTTGTGTAAGTCACGTAATCCAGCGGCTTGCACCACTAAGCAGGACTTGTGGAATAGCATCAACTTTTCACGCTTCTCTGTGGTCCCGAGCAAAATGCACATGTACAGGATTTCTTTGCAACTCCACCTTCGCTTCCCTGCGTGAACGCAAAAAATAAAATCCATTTTGCAGCAGCAGTCTAAATTGCTACCAATAGCCTCAGTTTTAAATGAGTGCTACGGAGACTGGATCATCAGACAGACACATACAGAAATGTGTTAATGTTCTCAAGAGCGAAAAGAACTGTTTGAACACGAGAGGCACCTGTAGACAAGCAAAATCTAAGAGAAGACCTGAAGCTATCCTGTTGATGAGTCATGACAGCACCAACACAATTACAGTCTTCAAGTATTAATTATACATTAAGAAAAAGGACCGTGCATTACAATGACACAAAAGTGAGTTCAGAAACCTCATGCAACTTGTCCTGCCCAAAAAATACAGAAAATACCACAATTATTAAAAGAGACAACACTGAACTCCAAGAGATCAAATCATCCTCTATACAGTATTAAGAATGCGATAAACTGACTCACAAAGAAGGCCCATTTGAATTTCATTGTTGTCTTCTTTTGTTTTCGAGCCTATCCTTTAAACTACTTCTTTTTCTACAGTTTCTCAGCCCGCCGAGACTGATAGTATCTCTAGCGGGTACAGTTTTTGCTAGGGCCTGGTAATCTTCCTACCTTGAGTTTGAACTCAGCATGCTCGCACCAGTCCGTTGTGTGCAGGATATGCCTCCGTTATTTTTCGAAGTGGCCAAACACATTGTGGGGCCTTGGGTTCCTCCACAATTACTAAGTCATCGACCATTAAGCCTTTACATGACGCAGTTGGGTAGTGATGAAGTGAACGAAGCTCAAGCTGATATTCTTTCCTCCAACGAAGCCACAGTTGAGCAGCTCACTCCTGTGCCGGTGCGGCGGAAGTGTAGCCGTACAGTTATGAATGTGCCAATGCCTTCGCGCCACCGCTTACTAACCTTTCGCTATGTACAAAGCTTGCATCAGCGTTTTGCGTGAATCAACGTTGTTGTGGCCGAAGGTGCTGAATTCGCTTATTTGAAAAGCTACAATGATATTGAGGATGACTGGAACTTTACGGTGTGCAACAAGCAAGACAAGTTTACGGACTATTTTCATACAAAATAAAGTGCAGTAAAATGCAGTTTACACTTTGTTTTTCATTATACTGTGAGCAAATCGTTATGTTAGCCTCTTGTAACAATTTGCGAGGCCTGAAATGCTTCAATTTAAGCCTTAAGTATGCATATTTTTTATTTCAAATTCTCAATATACCGAACTATTTCGCAACCCCCTTCGAGTTTTATATATCTGGTATCGGCTGCACTAGTATTTGTGATAGAAATGAAATCAAACCAGAAAAGTTGAGCGCCACATTTTAGAAGCTCCATAAAACTATTGCCAAATAAGCAGTAGATAACCGGTATGAGATAAAAGCAATCCTGCTCATTTTCACATTTCATTATGTTAGCCTGCATGTCTAGCTGAGAAAAAAGATACAGCCGAATGAGCTGTATGCTTACTATGCCAACTCTTGTCAAGCAAATGAGATCAAAGTGCACAATGCGGCACACTAGTCGCACACTGGGATGACACTACACAGATTCTTTTCAGCTTCTCTAGGACTTACGAGTCGGTCAAACAGCAAAAGTTCGTCATTCACAATCTCTCACTGTCATTTCAGAGCAGATTTGGAGCAATTAGTACTAACAAAAACTACTGTTTGGAGCGGCATGGAGCAGCGATTCTCTTATGGAACAGTTTGGAGCAATTGGAGTAGCACTTCCATCCCTGTAGCGGTGCTGCATTGTTCGACTTGGCTAAATATGGGTTGCCAACACACAATAGATGGTTGTTGCTTCTAAGCATGCCTTTAAACCGTGTCTGTTTACATTTCATCGGAAAGAACGTTTTTGAGTGCCTACCCTATGCAAAGAGGTCCACTACATTTCATTGTCATTACCACAATGCTAAAACATCCATGAGCAAACCAGAAAAAACAAAAAAGGTAAGCGATCCACAACCATACTTCTCATACCGCTTTGCATATCTTCACTCAGCAACAAATGCAATGACCAAGCAACAGGGGAAGTAACAAGCAACTGAGATCCTTCACACAAGGAACCAAACAGAAGTACATTACAGATGATCCTGAATTTGCTAATTTGGAAAGCTTCATTGATACTGAGGATAGCTTGACGAACCTGACGGCAAGCAAGAAGCAAGACACGTTTGCAGACTGTTTTCATGAGTAACTAAGTGTGATAACTTTAACTATTTTACAATCCCCTAGGAGTTTGATATATACAGGATTAACTGTATTCAGTTGCCTTATCATTGCAAGCATCCCCTTGAGGCAAAAAAATTTAGGATGACATAGAACGTTCTGTCGTTTATATGTGCTTTGCTAGCCTTAGTGCTTGCATATATATACATCTGCTTGGTACAATTAACCTCACAATAAGAGCAGTGCAATGGCAGAATATTTCTTTTCTGTAAGCCATCATGGAGTTCAACTGTTAGGAACAGCTCTCTCTTCTTTCGAACTAACCTTCAGGGGTTTCAGCACTCGAGGCTTAGAAAAACTGGCACATACTGCATGAGAATTCACAACTCCACTTTGAATGAAGCATTAGTACAGCTAGCCCACCTGCTTGTCATCACAGCAGCACTTGGTGCTAGAAGATTGAGTCATGTCGCGTCCCATGTTTGAGAGAGTCCTCGTCATCGCAGCAACCGTGATTAGAACAAGACCTTATCAAGGTTGGTGCACTCAGCCCCAGCCTTCGCAAGCCTCAAGCTCGGTTGTCAAAGAAGAGCACACCTGCAAACAAAAATAGCAGCATTTTCAGACTATCGGCAGTCTTAATAAATGATACACACTGAAATTTTGTTTTGGAACCTCAAAATAGTGGGAAAAGATGTTCTATTAAAGCAAAGTTTACCAGGGAGCACATTTCAAGTGTTAAACAAACCCTCTTAGAGGCAGTCATTCTGCTGAAGCAGTAATTTTGTTCAAATGTTTATGTTTTCTGGGAATCAGTGTTCACTAGGTCAACCCATTTTAATGTAATATGCCTCGAGTGAAGATACAGTTGAACCCCTTTATATAATGAATTCGAAGTACCACGAGAAGTACTCGTTCTATCACTAGTTAATCCATAGACTTTCCCTTCAAAATGTGCACACATTATCAACCAAGTTCTCTTTTCTCATGCAGATGGCTTTTTTTTTTTTCACTGTGTGCTTATGAATTAATTAGGATGCCTTTGCGAAGATTTGAATCTGCTGCTACAATATTTCAATCTGGCCAAGAAAATTCTCGCAGACATCTTAGGCAGCTTCCACTGTAATAATAATCGCTGCAGCTTTACAGGTCAAAACCACAATATAACTATGAGACGAGTCGCACTGAATGGCTTTGAATAATTTAACCCCCCGGAATTCTTTAACGTACACTCGCATTACAGATGCCTCTAAGAATTCCCTGCCATTGAAACGTCTCTGCCTTGGCCAGGATCGAATATCTATTTTCAAGTCAGCAGCTGAGCTCCGTAACCACCGTATCACCGCATAGGCTATATCACAAGTAAGAAGGCCAAAGACGTCTTTGTAGAACTGTTTCATGAAGAAAAGTTGCAGCGCAGAAGAGGTCACTTACAAAGTCCTGCGATGTCCCTCTAACCATAAACAACAGGCACCAGAGAATTCTTTGATCGTCGCATGGAAAGTCAACGTGAATGAATAAAAAAACATTGTGCCAATGCTGTATTTCCCTAGTGAATAGTGCCACTATCACACCACCTTTTTTTTTTCATAAAATAAGACTGCCACAGGCTTATGGGTATGGTCATTAAGCCAGGTGAAGGTGAAATACACTTTATGTGGTTCTGGAGAAACAGTAATAATATTTTTCGATAAAGCTACAAAAATTCAATATAAGTTGTAAGTTCGAGTTGCCAAACAGTTGCCATACCAAAGAATGGAGTTTTAACAAGGCCTACTATTACAGTGAGAGCTCAGTGATACTAATCTTGCAGGGTCATCAAAATTTTCATATCATCCGAACTTTGTATCAACAGAAAACATGAGAAATTAGTATGGGACTAAAGAAAGCTAGTGCACTTTTTCATTTACTGTTTCTCAGAGCCGTAGCAACATCATGAACAGCTCTGCATGACTGATAGGGAAGATTTTAGACATAAACGATAATACAAACACACAGCGCATGTTCGTGGCTACATGTACTGTGACTTGAGACTACTAGTAACTTTTTCCTAATCTTCGTGTGCCTCTCCCCACAACACAAGCATATTGCGGCGATAGTGACTTAAGGAATGCTGTGCAGTGATGGAGGAAGGCCAGAAAACTTTAAATCCGCTCTCCGCTTTCTTATTGTCATGGTGTTGAGACTGTTTTTTTAGGATATTTATTGCCATCACAACTTATCGGGTGGTTTGCTTGAAATTCGGGAGTCTCCCGTGGAGAGTGAATAGTTGGCAGGTGTGCAAGTACCCAACAATCGTGCCTGTTGACGTTGTGAGACCCAGCTCCCTCACCAAAACCAGTCCTTGTCAGCCTTGTTTCGGACGTCTGATGGTGAGGACGTGGCTTGGCATACGTGAACAGAGTAGGATGATTCTACCTCTAACACAGCAGCACGCACTGAAGTGTTGACAAAGAAAACAAGTGTGATGCCAACACCAACTGTAATATAATCACAAAGGCACATTAAGGCCTCTAAAATTCACATGTATATTCTCCAAGGCCAAGAGGCATGCCCGCTCGGGTGCACAAGATTGAGTCTTTCGCAACAGCGTGGGCAGCACTTGTGTGAACCTGTGCATGGCACACGTTCATATGACACATCACGAGGTAAAAGTTGGTTCTCAAAAACTCTACTCCATTATACTGAATGCTGATGGGCCTTGGCCGGGACTACCAATAAGATTCCTATCACCCCAAAATTTGCATGAGCAGTGATCGTGTCACTGAGATACGACCGTGTAATGGATGGGCTCATTCACTATGCATTGCACGAATCCCAGAAAACCCAACACTCATTGTGGGAACACAAAAAGGAAGCCACTTATTTCGGAATCTTCAATGACTAATCTGGACTGTGTCATGATGATTTAGCTGAAAATGCACAATATTGCAAAAAGTAGTTCATTGAGCATACACAATGAGAAAATGCTGAGAAGTACACCATAAGGTTGCAGAAATCCTCCTGAAAGCTCTCATGTCTCAAGTACTTTGGGATTTTCTAGAGCTGAAGTTGAGGCAAGCCTAATGTCAAACACTTAACAACACCAGCTCACATCGGAGGCGTATATAATTAATATAGAGTTCTTGACTAAAATATTAAGGTAAATGTAAAACACAGAGCGACTTCAGTGAAACGTATTATACTAGCCCGACGACATAGTGCATAACCAAATCTGTTGCTCGTGCTGAACCACTCATAATTAGTGAAAAAAGAAATAGTGTGGCGCATTATAACGTGGCACAAAATGCTAGCCATGCACTTTTGTTTCATTTCTAGAAAAATACCTTTCTGACTTCAAGCAGCATGTAGTGCACAAACTTACATTCAAGCACCGGTTTATTCCTACTGTCCAAGTGACAGCGACCAATGTCAAAGTTCATGGATTAACCGCACTGTGAGCCCCACATTCATCAAGAGAGACGGAGACATGTCACGGTTAGACAAGGTCAACTCCCTTGATTTTTCGAGGTCAGTAGATCTCAATGAAATTTGCTGGGTACGTTCGTTTGCACATTTCCTTCATTTATGCCAAATAAAGTAGACTGGTGATAATTCAAACCCAGATAATTCATACTTTCGGTTATTGCCAACAAAATTCAATTTTCTGATTGGCCCTCCATGCTGTTAATTTGTTTAAAAGCCTCTTCAAACTTTATCATTCTGTTAATTCATACTTTTCGTGGTTCCATACCACACAATATCTGCTGCTTTTTCACTACTATTTAAAAATTTGCATGCTTATCTAATCCTAACAGTCTAAAAAGGAAAAATAAACACCTCAGGCTTTCAAGAAAAAAGGCTTTGCTAGTTGAACAAATGTTTGAAACGAAGCACACACATGGTAAACTGTGATGCTTCTCAAATGGTATAGAGAGCTTTGTGCTGAAGGCACATATAGTTAAGAACCAGTTGGCAATTCACAATTTCTTGAAAAGGTCTGATCAGCAATAAATGGCCAATAAACTTGTGGACCTCGCACTTTGCTTCTTGTTCATTGCGGGCAGTTAGGGTTTAAAAACGCTTTAGAAATTTTTTAAATCTGATAAAATCAATGCCTAATCACAATGTGTGGTGTCACTTTACCCAGAGTCATATATCCGAGAACCTCTGATAATTAAACTTCTTGATAATTCAAACCAAATTCAGAGGCCCCTTCAAGTTTGAATTAACCAGAGCCGACTGTAACAGCGCTGAGAGATGCACTGATTGTTTACAAATAAACTTTACAAGATTGCTTCGAAATGCTTCCTGACTTGTTAGAATTATTGGCAACACTGTCCATGTGACGTCATGTTTGGCATATAAACAGAAGTGACGCAGCCGATGGCATTGCTAACTTTGGCTGCTACAGCGTTTACTGTGCTGGCCACAATGCAACGGGGGTGATGTTTGGCACAAATAAGCTTCCTTGCTTCCTCTGGAATATTTAGCCGGCGCTTCACTGGTCTGGTACGCGATATTCTGTTCCCTGTGAATGAGTGGGCAACGGGTGGTACCGTGAAAACAAGAATATACCGTATTTACTCCCGTGATAAACTCACTCACATAATGAACCTACCCCCGACCTTGGGCTTGAAAAGAAAACTATTTGTAATCTATCTGTTCATTTTATCACGACAAATCTCCACGTAAGCACAGCGGCACAAAAACAAAGCGCGTGGCTTTCAAACTGACGCGCGCCATTGAGTTAATATGACGTGTGCGTTGCGTAGTGCACTTGCCATCTCGAAGACCATGCAAAGCGGAACCGCACCTACCGCGCTGACGGCGCTTTGTGCACCCGCAACGTTTGTCCGCCGCCATCAGACGCTGTGTTTTATTGCGATAGCAATTATATGGACACTCTCAGCTAGGTTTTGTCGCCGACGCCTGCATCACTTACCATATATAGGTGTGTATATATATATATATATATATATAGAGAGAGAGAGAGAGAGAGTCAAGTAGATCCTCCGTGAGCAGTCACAACGTGGTTTATTTCGACGTTTCAGCCAGAGTCTGGCCTTCATCAAGATTGAAGGACAACGCTACGGCCACTCAACCACCATGCCTGCCTATATATATATATATATATATATATATATATATATATATATATATATATATGTATATATATATATATATATATATATATATATATATATATATATATATATACTCATGAAATAAAAAAAATGGCAGCATATCCTTGGTGGGAACGATGGAGAGTGGGGCGAAGCATCCGTCCGTCCATTCAATCTTGCTTCCGTCCCTAAATGCGTCCGTCTGTGGGACCGTCAGTGCATCCATCCGCACGTCCGTGCATGCGAGTCCGCACGTCCATCCGTGCGTCTGTCCCTGCATTTGTCCATGCATCCATCCGTCCATGCAGCCGTCCGTGCGTCCGTCCGTCCATGTATCTGTCTGTGTATCTGTTCGTCCACCTAGTCAATACTCCAAGTACCACCATCTCGCATCTTTTCATCATATATTCCGCATATAGAAGCACCGTCATCCAGCGGACATTCCAAGGACTAAACGAGAGGTGGCGCAGGCACACTTTCTTACGGCTTGCA